TCGTTACACTGTAGTAGTTTGTGCTGAATATGTTTTGCATCAGAGTATTCAGTTCTTAGGTTAATGAACACTTGTTGCTTAAAGAATTAAAGACTTTGTTGCCTGACCCTCTGATGTTGTTTCTAACATAGCAAGTAAACTGAGGCATAAACATTCCCACACCTATCAAACTTGAAAATCCCAACAGCTGGAGGCCAAAAAGCTGATGTTATATTATCCAGATAAATCCAAATGCTTATGTCTCTCTCACTCCATTCATGTACTTTGCTATGTCCATGAAACTGAGGGGAACTAGAACAGAAAGACTTACGTGCTTGTGTCTTGTACCAAGCCAGGCAGGTTTTCTCTGTTGTAGTAGCTATAGCATTGATCACACACACGAGACAGACTTTCCCTGCAAGCTTCTACTGCCATTTTCTTGGTGGAGCAAGAGTTGCATACCAACCTCCCACAGCGCCTGCAGTGGTGGCGCCTGTTAAACTAAGCAAAAGAAGTCATGGATGAGCCACAAAAAGAATTTACTTAAGTCCCCTCCTCTGTCTGTCTCCTCTCTTGAGTAAACTTACTCCATTTGAAGAGAGGAAACACCACGTAGGATAAGGCTCTTCAGAATTATATAATGATCGATTCTCCCTCTTACAATTCCTTTCTGAAGGTGGCATGACAAAGACAAAATCAAACCCAAAACCCAGAGACCAGTATTTAAAGTATGTTTGCTGCAGTCTTGGGCTTTCCACTATTTAAATTGCCCTGATTTTGATCACAATGCTAATCAGATCATGTCTTGGAAAAGTTAGAAACTTGTATTAGACTGTTTTTCTGACACCATCTTAGTAATTTCCAAATTCGAAAGCCACAGATACTTTGAGAAAACTACTGTTTCCAAGCAGAAGGCTGCCAGCACACCTGCAAAGTTAAAAACTAATCTTCTCCCTTAGAGCAACAATGCAGTTGCTCAAGTACTCTATGAAACAATAGGTTTTAGAAAAGTGTAACCAACAGCAAAGATTTCATTTTCTATATAGGTAATCTGAAATAAATGATGATCATGTTATTTCCTGCCAGCACAGTCAACTAGACAGCCTTTTGAAATATTAGTACTGCTGTTACTAGTCATTTTTGAGATCTCATAGTTATCTTCTTTTGGATGTCCAGATTTCCTCTTTAGGCTTTATCACTTTACAGAACTCTGCAAGGAGCTAACTGTTGCCTCAACTACTCTAAACAGAAACCAAGGGTTAAGTATCAAAGGACTGGCATTCTTGTCAGGCCCTATGGTCATGCAGGCAAATTTGCTAAAGTAGCTAGTGTCTCTTAGGAAACAGATGATGAGGAATTGTTCATATTAAGGTCACAGTCCTATGAATGTCTGTACTTAGTTTTTGCTCCTTACCATAGTAAAACGTTCAGTTTTGCAAACCATACATATAGTTTCAGTGTCATCAGGTATCCATTGCTGCTTTGGTGGTGGCTTCTCAGGAGGCACAAATTCTTGAGGAAACAAATTCTGCTGCAGACTTCTGTCTCTGGGACTTGCAGATATGGTTACACCTGAAAATGAGAAAAACATGGAATGGGATTTGAGCTCTTTAATGGAATCTTCCGTACTAGAAAATGCTACAGACTCACTGAGGCTGTAAGATCTTTCTGGCCCACAAGATGACTACCATTATCTTTCAGGTAGGCATGGCAGAGTAACGGGCCCACAAGATGACTACCATTATCTTTTGGGTAGGCATGGCAGAGGAACATGTAAGGAATTTATATGCTTTAAGCTAAAATTGTAAGTTTGTAACCTTACAGTACTTCAATACCAATCAGCAAGAGTACATACTTATTAAGAGACCTTTACCATAACAGTCAGAGAAGTGTAAGACAACTTGTCAACATCTGCTCTTGTATCACAAGCAGAGATTTAGAGGAGAAAGAAAAAACACCCCAGTCATTGGATACCAATTGTGTGCATAGCATAAAATAGAATCTCAAGGATACCCAGTGTTGACATTCCTGAAGACTGAGAGTTCCCTTTGTTATCTTAGGAGTGTTGACATTCCTGAAGACTGAGAGTTGCCTTTGTTATCTTAGGAGAGCTGGTATGGCTAGCAGTATGGCTAGTAACAGCATATCCCTCCCTATTCTGGTTCCCTTCTCAATCTACTGTGGAGAAATCAGTTCACAGAGGAATGAGTTTAAGTCTTTGACCTTTGGATCTTTGACCTTGCCAATGAAATACTCATTGAATTAAGTTTACAGTATTAGATAGGCTTTTAGTTTATATGATGTGAGCCAGTTACATTACAGGCTAATTGAAAAGTTCAACATGTCACCTATAGAAAAATTTGTGATTTTTTTTTAGCCACAAATATTCTTCAGTTGTTTTGGCTTAAATTACTTTGTTTCTATTTATTTGTGTCTGAGGACTGTGAGTGGAGTCTCTCAGACAACACAAGGTGTGCTATTTTCCTCAGGTCACAAGAAGGATCCTAGTAAAACAATAACATCAAGGACCAAAAGAATGATGGAAAAATACAACATGAATGAGATTTCTGCTGTAAAACCAAAGTTAGGATCCAGAAGAAAAAAAAAACCAGAAGAAAACAAATAAGAACAGTTTGAAATCACACTGTCTTGATTTCAGTCAGGATAGAGGCATTTTTTTCCTTAGTAGCTGGTACAGTGCTGTGTTTTGGTTCAGTGGGAGAATAATGTTAATAACACACTGATATTGATAAGCAGTGTTTACTCTAAATCAAGAATTTTTCAGTTTCCCATGCTCTGCCAGTGAGGAGACACACAAGAAACTGGGATGGAGCAAAGCCAGGACAGCTGACCCAAACTGGATAAAAAGGGATATTCCATACCATAGAACATCATACTCAGTGCATGAAGTGGGAGAAACTGGCTGGGAGGGGCTGATCCCTGCTGGGGAATGGGCTGGGCATTGGGCAGCAGGTGGTGAGTAACTGTATTGTGCAGCATTTGTATTTCTTGGGTTTTATTTTCCTCTCTTATTTTCTTATCTCCCTTTTCATCATCATTACATTTTACTTTATTTCAGTTATTAAACTGTTCTTATCTCAACCCACAGGTTTTACCCTTTTCCAATTCTCTTCCACATCTCACCTGGGAAGGGATTGGTGGGGGGAGTGAGTGAGCAGCTGTGTGGTACTTAGTTGCTGCTGGGGTTAAACCATGACAGGCAACAAGGTCTTAACCTTACCAGTAAAGCTGACAGGAGATAGTTCTGATGATCCTAATTTAGACAACGCTTCACATTCCAATACCTGATTGAGACTTTCTTGGACACGTATCAGAGAATCTAGGACAAAGGGAAGAAAGGAATAAAAATAAAAATCAGAAGACAATACTGGACAATACATCTGCCTGTTTTTAAGAAGATTAGAGAATTCCATTCACAGGAATACATAAGAATGTCAGCACAAAACGGGATTACCTATGTGATAACGAAATATTATTTTCATGAAAATTAGTCCACAGCAGTCAATGGAAAACTATATAAAATTCAATGAGCTAAAAAACACAGAAATGGATCCTTATCAAAGCAATGGTGCACTGACAGGTACAGGAATAATACAGAGGAGAATAAGTATCAGATGTCAAAACAATTGATTGACACAAGATGCTCATGCCAGATATTAAATGCTTTGCATGGAAGAACACAATACCTGCAAAGTCATCTGACAGCGAAAGACAGATAAGTCTGATGCTTTTATATTAGCAAGGGCCCTACAAAGTTATAGGTCATCTGGCAGGAAAGGATAGATAAGTCTGATGGTTTTATGTTAGCAAGGGCTGCATCGTTAGATCACAAAATTAAGCCAACATTGGGAAACTGGCATAAAGGAAGCTGGTACCATATCTGTAGGTATAAATGGCTGTAGATAGGTACACACATCGTGTGTTTTTAACAGAATATCACACAAGCACTGGTTTGGATCTGCAGCACCCTCTGCTGTTCCTACAACCCCACAAAGGAGAGCCAAATGTAGGAGACCCAAACACAACATGGATGAGAGGGGACTGGCAAACCAGAAAGAACTGTACTGACTATGTTCATCAGAGCTACAAGTTTAAAAGTATTCTATATGAAAAAAGGAATAGGACTCTGGTAGGAGGAAATACTATGGAAGATTAAATCCCCATTCTATTTGAAGGGAGATGCAGTTGGCCGCAGGTTTTAGAAATGCTTAACTTGTCAGTGAACTTGCATTAAATGGTAACAAAATAAAATGGATGAACGTGATACAAGAAAAAAACTTCAAGAAGGAGCAACAGAGAAATGTCCAAGAAACTTTTGAAGCGGCTGCTCCTTGAAAACATCTATTTACAAGAAAGGCAAAGGCTTTAATAACATGTTCTGGGCTAGAGGGAGATTGGAGACACATCTAAAAATGTGACATGATTGCTGAAATGATTCTCGGGGATATTGACCCTTCTTTCCCACGTGTAAAACAGCATTCTGATAGACAGTCACCTGATCTCTTTTCTTTTAATGCAAAAGGGAACTTGAGAGCTTTTTCTGCATACTTGGAAAGCAAATTGTCAATGTCTTCTACAGTAAAACCAACTTCCTGCCCAGCTAAGAGCTGGCGCAGTGTCTGCACAGCAGCAGCTACCCAGTCCACCTTCATATTCATGAGGAGCTGTTCCAGCATGAGCAGTGGCCTTGAGGAGAGGTGGAAGTAGTTAACACGGGAGAGCTCAGGCAGAGTCAGCAGCACCTGAGATAAGAAGAAAGCATATGTTACAATTACATACCTTCAAATCTCTGTTTCTGTGAGATTAAAGACAAGAAACTAGCACAGTAGCTAACAAGGGAATGGAATAACAGCTGGAGGACAAAAACAAGGAGGTGGGTCTTCTCAGATCCATTCGTACTTCTGTTAAGAATTACTGAGTGGATTTGCAGAAATTACTTAGTTTCCCCTTTCCATTCTATAAAACACTGCTTCATTTCAGAGGATAACGAAAAGTGGAAAGCCTTTTGTGACCCTGTGACAACTATGTTGCAGCAGAGTAGGGCACCTTCTCTTATTAAAATAAACTTATAAAGAGCACATTATCCCAATCCTAATCCTTCCATCATTTGACAAAACGTTGAAAGGAGAAAATAAGAGCAAATCTTCTCTAGATGAACAGTTACTAAGGACACTTTTCAAATAAAATCATGTCTTCAAAAGGAAGCAGTAAGGAAATAAGAAGCCCAGCAAAATACTGGGGCACACGCTGGCGCAAGCTACTGTTTACTGTCCTACAACAAAACAAACATTACCAAAAGTACTGCATTTTGTTTACATGTAATGCATTCAACTAAGGAAATCTACTTATTACTACATCTATTCCCAGGCTGAGCACAGAACTTGTATGACTTCTGTAAAGGTAATGCCTATCCAGAAAGAGGAGCAATACTGTCTGCCTCTGGAAGGCACTTGGGAGAAACATGTCATGTAAGTGTCAAAGACCTCCATACAGGTGGGCATATGTAGGGCACTTAGTCTTACCGACATGGAGAGTAAGTTGAGGATACTTTCTTCACTTGGGAACAAGATAACAACTGTTCTGATAAACACCACAATTTCATTTTATTCCACCCTACCCTCTTCCAGCCTGTATGTCCCTCCACTCCTTACAGCTCACACACAAGACTGCTCTATTTGTATTGGGAGTTACAACCACCTCGTAATATGGAGCTACAAAGATGGAGAAAGGGAAGAGAAGTTCTAAGCCACCTCTAATACTCCTTTGGATCCTGAGACTCATGATCTTAGATGTGGTATGGTGAGAATGCTCTGGCAAAACCTACAGACTTTTTATATTATGTAAACATGATGCATTATAAAATTACTTATACAATTATATATTGCCATGATTCCCACTGTGCAGCTGTGCCCACCTTTGATCCTGTATAGAGTGCCTGGATTTCCTTGCGGCGCGCTGTCGTCAGATTTGCATAGAAGTGAGCTGTAAGGTAATCAGCCAAGAAGTGAGAGGCTGCCAAGTTCGGATGCTGGTCCAGGGACTGTTCACTGATAGCAAGGCAAACACCAGGGTCTTCAATTCTTTGTAAAAGCTACAAAACCAAACAAGATACTGTGAAACCCTACTAGGTTTCTGGAAAGAAGCCTTTATAACAGGCAGCCATGACAGATTATTACCGTACAATGGTCCAGCAAGCAAATTAATTTACATGAGTGTCTTACATATGTAAGGATGATTTAAAATAACCCATTTGTAGACTACTCACTGCCTATTTTCTCCACTTATTAATCAAAATGTATTTAAAGTAAGCAAAAAATTAAGCAAGGAATAGAACAGAAGGTGCAGTGATCAGAAATCTTCACTTTGTTTCAGAGTATTTTCAAAGCTATATAGTCTGAAAGAGCCTCCATTTTATTCTACACACTCTGTTATTAACAACAGCTCCATAATTATTAAAACCAAGAGTTCACTCTTCACTAATTTGGACACTGAAGCACAACTGACCAACTCATGTTATTAGTTATACTTCTGATTCTCCTGCTTATGCAGCACAGACATGCTTCACTATGATTTTTCAAATAAAAGGAGCCTTGTATTTCCATGCAAATCGAATTTATGCTATTAGGTCCAAGGACTAGATTGCCAAGCTGGATTTTCCCTTAAGCAGAGCAGGGGAGAGGCAGGACCCTGAAAACATATCTAAGCAAAATAGCATCTCTTAAGAGTGAAACCAAGCAGACCATGAAAACACATTCAAAGTAGGCAGGGAAAACAGTTGTCACCTTATTTGACCTGCAGATGAAAGGCTGAGAGAGTCTTGTTATTACCTGTAAGGCTTTTTCCATTTCTCCCATCTCCAGTAGGTGGAGAAGGTGCTCACGGTGTAGGTTTATCAAGTCTTCTCTTGGGACAGGATACAAGTGTCCCCATTCCTCACACAACTCATAATCCTAAAGAAGTTACCAAAAAAAAAAAAGTAAAAACAAAAGGACAAACTCTACCCTTCGTGATACAGCTATTTCTCCAAAGTTCTGATCAACTTCAAGAAATTCTGCAGCTTAAACTCCTCACCCACATGCAATTACATTGACAAGTGGAAGAAGATGATAGTCTATTTTGTCAGTCACAGCTAGCATTGAAAATGTTTTCTCATCTCACAGTACGCAACTTATTTTTTAGAGAGACATTTTTAAAGCCACCAGATTTACAGTATTGCCATTTACCTAATAATCAATCCTGTATGGTCCCCAAAGTCATGCTATCAAAATCTTCAAAATTAAAAAAAGAAGAGGTTATACCTCAGAGTAAGAGTTGCAACTTAAACTTAAGAATTATTAACTACACATAAATCTAAACATTAACACAGATCTTTGTATCTGTATTACCTCCCAAGGTAAACTCCACTGATCAGTGTTTTAAGATACTATTTTAACAAATTTATCTGCTCAAAGTTTAATGCATTCAACAAAATTCACATGATGATGCCTAACCTTTGCCTTCAGAATGATATTCATGACAGCCTGGGGGTCATCAGTGCAGGCTTTTTTCAGATCCTGCCAGTCACTCCACAATGGTTCGTTTTGCACATTCAATATCTGAAAAAGTTAATATTGAGCAGCACAAATATTAAAAGCTTAATCTATGGCAATCAACAGCCTAAGAAAACAGTTGAACTAATCATATCAAGGGCTGCTTCATAAAAAGTCAAAAAGGAGGCCCACATTTATCTCTAGCCCTTTTTTAGGATGAGGTAATGCCCTTGCATTCCAAAAAAAAATTACACGATTTTCTCAAATATATGAGTCTACAAAGCACATTTATAGGAGAAGGTTTTTGAAAGATTAGATGGCAACAATTCTGGATATAGAAGTACATTGCTGGCACTAACAGAGAGACAACTTAGCTAACTGCCAGGTAACAGAACTCCAACCAGACAGAGCTCAGCTGGGATCCTTTTTTGCTGTTTGGTTGTTCAGTCTGTGCTGAACTCCAGACCAGCTAGTCTGACTTAACTTGGCTATCTGCACTACTCTGCACTTAGAAGAACTGACTTGCAATACAGACTTGCTCATTGGACAACTAGTCTTGTACACTATATCTAGGCATATCTGCATTCCTCAAGCTTGTAAAATGATGAATTACCATGGAAAGCTTCCAGAGGCTCTAGTATCTATATAGAATGGAAAAACAAATACTTTGCAAAACAAGCAACCTCACAGAAGTGTTTGCATCTAATCATGTTTGCAGACTTGAATGCTAATAGGAGAGTGGGAAAGTTGTGAAGTATGGAATCCCAGTGTAAACTGGACAGTACAATGCTTAATATGAACTGTTTTGGAGGAAAGACTTCAAAAGCTATCATGATTAAAAAAGGAACCGTGGGCTCAAAATTCTCAGAGCACAAGTGTATTTGCTCCCTGCTGCCGATTTCATCTCACCAGCTACTTGAAGAACAACTTTGTACCTTTTGATAAACCTGAAGTTCTTTCCTCCTGCTCTGCAGATTGGCTTTTAGTTCATTAGTTACACCCAGATCAGAAATGCAATAAGCCAGGATTTCCAAACAGGCATCAAGGGGCCACTTGTCCAGACAGCGCAGGGCCAGCCTACTTCTCAACACTGCATTTTTCACTGAGAACAAGTATTGCCAACCATCCTTATCTGTGGAGGAAACAAAACACTAGTTTGACATTCAATTTCTATAATTTGGAAAATAAATTTTAAAAATCCTTATCCTTGCTGGATCACATCACCAAAGGATGTACAGGGCTGAAAAAAAATCTGTGAGAGTCACCGTAAGCATCAGATTATTGGGAAGCAACCAAAGTCAACATTGCATACTTACTATTCAGACTCCAAAAGGCACTTCCTTTCACAGGATATATCAGCCATGCATGACAATGACACCGCTGTAAGGGATGTTCCATTAACAGTACTATGATTATTGTCTCCTGATGTATACAGCTCTTCAAATAAAAGTAACATCATAGGTGCATTCCAGTTCTCTTGTACTAAATTGGTCAGGATTTGCCCAATTGTGAGGCAGAAACTACACCATTAGAGAAAGCAAATGCAGGATGACGGAAGGAAAAGGATCTATGTCCATCTTTGTATTTGCCCAAGGACCATTACTTTAGTTTCTACCTCCTGATTCAGGCTGCATTCTTCATGAAAAAAAAAAAGATGAAGGAATAAAGGCCTGACTTAACCTTCTTACCTTCAGCAGCTGCACAGCTCAGCACAGCATCCTTCACAATGACCATCTCCTCCACATTCTGAGTGTACAGATCCAAGACCTTCAGTGCTCTGTCCCAGTCCTTTGCAGCAAGAGATTGTTCAAAGACTCCCATTAATACTTTAACAGCTGTGGTAGAATGCAATCCTAGGAGCACCAGAGATATGTATATCTTGCCAGAGAAGACAGTAGCCAAACTGTTTCCTTCCTCTTGATTCCGAAGTGGCTCAAACATAGCAAAAAGAAATTGTTCCAATATTGGGAACTCCTTCAACAATGCCTCACACTCTCTGGAAATTTGTTCCAAACCTAAAGGCACCTCTCGTTTGCCCCGAAATTCCATCCAAGACAAACTTGATTTGGAAATTTTCTGGATATTAGATGCACTTAGACATGCCACTGTGGCCATTAGCTTTGACTGAGACTTTAGGAAGTCCAGGGAGGAGGCAGTCAGTATGTGCTGGCTCAAGTCACTCAGAGGGGATGTGGCCTGAGTGGAGATATCCTCAGAGGCAACTGCAGAGCTGTGAATAGGTATTTCAACATCTGGCAGGCAGTGGTAGGCACACTGGTGTGCCAAGTTGCTGATGTTTGTCAGAAGAGACTTTGCTTGGCTGCTTTGCCTTGCACTGCACAAGGACAGTGGTTCACAGCAACAGTTAACAATAACTTCCTGCACATTCAAGTTCAACTCTTCTTTAGCCAAGAGAGAAGAAAGTCTGCAGGATTGAAAACAGAACCAGCTTACTCAGCACATATAAAAGGCACTTTACAATTACATATTTTCACAAATCTTCCAAATGTTTTGAGAACACATGCTCCCTAATATTCTTTATAAGTACATACAGGAGAAGAAAAAAAATGCATAGAGCATGACATTAATAACTCAGAGCTTATGCTGCAATTCCTTTACAGAAAAGGAACTTATCCCTCAAACACTGACTTCTACCTAAATGCAAGCCACTGAAAGAGTTCACCATTAATGTTTGTCTTTTTTAAAGCTACTTTGTCAAACCAGACAATTTCCATGACAGCCTGAGCTAGTAATTTCATAGAATCCTAGAATCATCAAGGT